AAATTTACAGAAATTTACATTAATGTTAAAATTCCATAATATTTTCAAAAATTTCCATAGGTCCTATAATATTATAAAAATTTAACATGATATAAATTTCTGAAATTTTTATCAAATAAAATTTCCTAATATATAAAATCTTTACTTAATGTAAAATAGATATAATCAAATCAATATAATTTTTTACTGCATAATAAAGTTGATCCTAGTAGCTATTTTCAGATATTTAATTGTGTTTAGTTTTGTATATGTATATTGAGATTATATTGATATTAGAATATATAATTGGAAATTTTTCTTGGCAAAATTTTAGTAAACTTGGTTCATCTAAAATTATATGTTTATTTTTCAAACTTTCTCATGGAATAAGGATATTCTACATCTGAACATATTCATATCTTGTATAAAATGATTGAAAATCTGCAATCTACAATTAAGACATTGTTAAAATTAAATTTTGATCTTGTTCATCAGATTGTTGAACTTAAAAAGAAGTTTGTTGAGATCAAAACTGAAAATATCGGGATTAAAATTAAGAATGTCAAAGTTAAAGTCAAGAATATTGAAATTAAAATTGAAAATATGAAGTTAAAACAAACCTTGAAAAAATATGAAATCAGATTTACAAAACTGGAATATAATGTTTTACTAATTAAGGAACAGAACTCACAAGGTACAGATATAATAATTTGCATAACTTACAAGTACCCATTCTTTCTGAAATAAATTCTGGCATTAACTTATCTCTGATTGATAATACTTCTACAAAGGATATTTTGTCACATATTGATGTGAGCTAGCTAAAGTCCAAGAGTCAATCTGATGAAGTTTAAGCTATTACTCCTAATCAGTTCAACTCAATCTAAATTATAAATAACTTTTTCATTTATTGAAACTCACTCTAATAAAGAAATTTTAATATATTATGAAACAAATAATTCTATAATTAGCATTACTCCTGTAACTCCCGAGGAACAAAGTTTCATATTGAATTTTGGAGTCACATTTGAATTTAGACCCAAAGGGTTATTGCCTTACAATAAAATTCTTGCAAAATATTTTAAAAGTAAAAAGAAAATAGAAGCAAAAATAAATGATACTTCCTTAACTAACTGGGAATCTTTAACAAAAGATATATCAATTATATAAAATGAGCTAGTAGACTTGAAAGGTCATTGTTTCGCAATAATAAAAGAAAATGAAACATTACCAATTAACACAAATAAGTAGAATCCAGAGTCATTGAACCAATATATTATAATAAAAAGGGCAGTATGCACTGGTGAGACTTTAGTTAATGTATTAGATTCTTCCTATTATTAACGTGAGCAAGCCTTTGACTAAAATTGACATTATTGCAATAATAGTGATATTAATTATTTGGTATATATACAAAAATATTTCTGGAATATATAAACCGACCATAAACAAACAAAATGAAGTAAATTATCGAGAGAAAGAAATTTTTTATCTAGTCTATAAAAATAATAGTTATGGATTTCCAATTCATCATACAAAAGAACCAAAAGAAAGAACTAACACCTATGAAACTATTCCTTATAGATATGGATGAGGCCACAAAGCATGAATTATTCAGAAATGTCAGACATCTAGCAATGACATGGCCTTTCAGTAAACTAGTCAGTGGGAAGAGTGAAATAGGTAAGATCAATTTACTGGCAAACCTTGTTCTCAGAAATAAAGAAAAGTATATATATAAAAGACAAAAAGGAGGATCCCAATATATTAAATGTGATAATTTGATAGTTTGTGGTTATCATCCTGACAAGCCAAAATAGGCATTTGTTAGATACATGTATAGAATAATTACAAGTAATCCTAAAGCACCTTATTATGAGAATATTAGATTCAGTTACATATCACTGGAAAAAATTCCTAGCGTAAAATCATTTTCACTGGAGAGAAGAACTATAATCATCTTTGAGGATTTATGTGTAGCTCCCGAATTCATCCAAAATTGAGTTATTCCATTCTTCACACATGGGTGTTATCGAAATATAAGTCCAATTTTTGTTTCACAGAAATATCACAAAGTTCCAACTATTATTCATGAGAGTTTATCCTATCTAGTGATATTTAACTCAGGTAGCTCATATGAAGATATTTCAAAAATTATTAAACGTTATACTAATAATGTAAAAGATGCATCAATGATTATTAATAGCTATTTACGAAAGGGAAAATTTGTTGTGTTTAACCTAGATAAATCTGAGGATGATCCTCTTGCTTTAACTATGACTAAAAAACAATGAAAAAGCTATCATTAAATGATGCATGTATAATTGCTAAAGAACATGGTGGACTTTGTCTTTCAACTATATATATTAATAATCGTTTACCTTTGTTATGGTGTTGTACTAGAAAATATGAATGGATAGTGAGTTTTAAAAATATAAAAAATGGTAAAACATGGTACCCATATTGCGCAGGTAATAGACCTCTTACAATTGAAAATACAAGGCAATTAGCTTGTAGTAGAAATGGAACATGTATTTCTGCTGAGTATATTAATGCTAATATCCCAATGGATGGCAATGTGCAAATGGTCATGAATAGACTATATCTCTTCATAATATCAAAGATGACAAGACATGATACCCGTATTGTGCAAATACAGCTAGTCATACAGTTGAAGATGCCAAGCAAGTTGCTTTTAGTAAGAATAGAGAATGCCTTGTCGAAACGTATGATAATAGTTTTTCATATTTATCATGGCGTTGTTCTGAAGGGCATTAGTAGAATGCATCTTTTAACAATGTGAAAAATAATAAGACGTGGTGTCCATATTGCGCAACTAATAGGCCTTGTATACTTGAAGATGTCAAACAATTGGCTTATAATAGGAAGGGAGCTTGTTTTTCTGAATATTTTATTAATAATTATTCAGCTTTATTATGGATGTGTGACAAAAAGCGTAGATGATTTGCTACTTTTGTTAACGTTAAATATTCAAACTCATGGTGTTCATTCTGTTCGAAATATAAAAGAGAAAAGCTATGTCATGAGATTTCAACAAAATATCTTGGCCCTCCTTCACTAATTCGCAAATCCAATTTTCTCAAAACATCAGAATGTCCCACAGGATTAGAACTTGATATTTATTACCCAGAATATAGCTTTGCAATCGAAGTACAAGGCGTACAACACAAAAAATTTCACGAGTTCTTTTCATGAAAGAGATCCCAATAATTTTATCAAACAGCAAGCACGAGATCAATTCAAGAAAGAATTATGCGAAGAAAATTGAATTGTTTTAAGATATGCCTGATATTACAAAGACCCATATGTAGCAGAACATCTTCGAGAATTGGATCTTATTGAGTAAGATTAAAACTTTAAATGCTTTTACAGTTTACTAATGTAAAAATTCACAAAAGTAAATGTGACAGTTTATTACAGTGGTTTAAAAAAAAAATTGGAATCGAAAATACACTTACTGTTTCATAACCATAACACAAAATTTAATTTTTTTTTTTTATTTTAAAGTTTAAAACTTTCGTTTTACATGATAAAAATTTAAAAATCAATTGTTTCACCATTATTTGTAATAACGGGCTCACAACATCTTGGCATTGAATTTACTAAATTCACTAAAATTTTTTTTGGAATTTTGGCCCACTCCTCCTCCATATAACGATTCAATTCTTGACAATTTTTTGATTTACGTTACTCTAATTTTGTTTTAACGATACTTTATAAATTTTCTATAGGATTCAGGTCGGGACTATTCGCTGAACAATCCATTACTACGGGAACATTATTTTGAAAAAATTTCTTTACAACCCTAGCTGGTATGTTTCGGATCATTATCTTGTTGGAATACCCATTTACCTTTTAACATTTATTTGACTTATGGAATATGTTTTTGAAGAATTTCAACGTAATAGATACCCGTTATAATCATTTGGAAACAAAATAATGATGTTATTCCTTTTATACAGAATCCTCCCCATGCAAAAATTTTTGTTTGATCTTTTGGCCTAGGCCGAATTGGTCTTTTGCCCTTGTATTTCTGTATAATTGAAAAGCAATTTCGTCTGTAAATAAAACCTTTTTCCAGTTACAATTTAAATATTTCCATGCCCATTCAACTCTTTGTTCCTTGTGTCGTGGTGTGAGCATTGGCGTAACTTTTAGTAAACTTTTTTTATACCCAATACTCGTTAAATACTTCGAAATAGTTGAAAAATGAAGTTGTATTCCTTTTTTTAATAGCTTAGGCAATACCTTTTAATGAAATGGAAGAATCTTGACGAATATACTAACGTATCGTATTTGATACTTCGGGGATTATTTTTTTTTGATCGGCCATTTCTACTTTTATGATTAACGCTTCCATTTTTTTTTAATTTTTAAATATTATAATAAAGAGTTGAGGTCAGAATCTTGGTAAGTTTATACAACTCAGGCACCTTTATTCCAATAATGTAGCAAAACTTCTTGGTGTCTTTTATTAACTGAAGTCAACATCCTACTGTGCTGTGCGAAAAATTTTAAAAAATAAAAAATCAAATCATAGTACAAAGTCACATTTTGATATTACAAATTGTTGATCACCAGTGACAAATTTCCAATTTTTTTTCAAACCACTGTATATCACTTCCATATCACATTAGTAGATCTGAAATAAAGATATCATTTAATTTTGTTAGATGCTTTCCTCTAAAACCACTCAGGTCCTTTGAAAAAACATTTTTCCACTGGTCGAAAATTGATAAAATATACACATATCGGGTACCCGATATGTGCATGGTGTTTTTCTAATATCGGGCATATATCGGATACTCGATAAGTGTAGAAAATATTTTTTTACACTTATCGGGTACCTGAATATATATAAAATATTTTTTACACATATCGGGTACCCGATATATGCTCGATATTAGGAAAACACCATGCACATATCAGGTACCCAATATGTGTATGTTTTATCAATTTTCAACCAGTATTCCTTCTCACTTCGTTAACTGTCAAGTACGATGTCTTCAGTCACCAAGTCTCACGTTGAGGAACTCGAGACCTGGCTTATTTCAGTCATCGTTTTCGAGAAATTTTACAAACGTAAAAGACGCTGAGGTCAGATATAAAGCTGAAGATGTGATACTGGAAGGTTCCAAGATTCCAGAAAAGAAAGTAACATCCTTTAGAGAACTGGTGCAAAAGAAGTTTATTGATATTTCAAAAAAACTAAAAAAACCCAAATCTTTATCTCATACTTCGTTTGCCTTTAGGTGGAAAGATATATGGAATTTCTTACGAAACAACTGGAAGCAATTTATATTAGCAGACATTCTTATCGCTCTTGCCGTTGATAAGGTCAGTGAGTATCGTATCAGTTTAGCTCTAGAAAATGGTACTAGGCCTATACCAATAGTAGAGAAGGATGAATTTGTTAAACGATCTCAAATTTCAAATACCCTTAAAAAAATTTTTAAACCAGAGGAATGTCACTTATATTATCATGTTGTCTGCGGAGAACATGTAACTGGCAAGACAACATTGACTAGAATGGAGATAAAAAGTGTTAAAAAAGGTGTCATCTATGTTGATGTTCCTTCTGATTTTGAGAACTTGGGAAAAGCTTTTGGGAAGGCCATAAATTTGTCATTCTTTGAAGATACCTCTATAACATCGCTTCTGGTTCGAAAATTTTTTTCTTCTGCAATGGCTGTAACTGGTGGTGAGTCTGCCATCTCCTCTTATCAATGGAGAAGAGTTATGGAAATTTTTCAACATGCCTCTGAAATGTATAAAATAAAACATAAAAAACCCTTGGTTATTGTTATACCTGTCACTCAAATTCAAAATCCAAATGCCGAAATTCCAAATGCCAAAATTCCAAATTTCAAATCCCAAATTATGATTAGTATTTTTTGCTGAAATCCCAAATACTAGTAATTTGGGATTTTGACGTCCCAAATCTCAAATGATTTGAAATTTGGACAACACGTTGTTACTAGTTGACCTTTTGGGCTAATTTTATTTTCCAAAAGGCAATTTACAACTAGCAACTCGTAAACAGTTA